AGGGGAGAGGAGCTGGTGACTGCATCAATCACTAATAGCCAATGAGCTAACTGAGCATGCCTACATAATGAAGCCTCCATAAAACCCCCAAACAATAGGGTTCAGAGAGCTTCTGGGTAGGTGAACACTTGGAGGTGCTGGGGGAGGGGGAAAGCACCTGGAAACTGCACACGCCTGCCCCCCACCTTGCCCCATGCACACATTTCTTCCATCCAGCTGTTCCTGAGTTGTATCCCTGTATCCCCTATAATCAACAACTAACAGTAAGTGAAATGTTCATTGGAACTTTGTGAACTGTTCTAGCAAATTAGGGCACTTGAAGAGGGGTCATGGAAACCCCTAATTTATAGAAGTGGGGGCAGCCCTATGGGGCTTAGCCTGTGGGATTTGCGATAATTCCAGGCAGATCATGTCAGAACTGAATGAACTGCTGGACACTCCGTTGGTCAGGAGAATCAGAAAGTTGGAGAAGTGGTATTGGAAAAGGCACTGTATGTTTGGTTTCAGAAATGGAAAAAAGCCCTCTCTCATTTGGCATCAGAAGTGGCACTGAATGAAAACAGCTCAACGATGCACAAATATTACTTTTGTAATCAGACAAAGCCCACCCTCCATTTGTTTACTTGGGGGAAAGGAGTCATTTACTGAGATAGCCTCAGTAATTTCTAATGCCAAACACCACGTAAAACAGAATTCCTTCATTTCACAGACAATGCCATACTTAGGGTCAGGCACAGCTAAAAACACCTCCTGGTTACACAAGAAAACATCCTGGGTCTGAGAAAGCGCCTTTTCTGCTCTGGATATATATCCACCTCATGTACCAGAGAAGCCAAAGTCATCTTCACCTCTGAAACCTCAATCTCTGGTACTAAAGCCTCCGAGGCCACTTCGTCTGCTCACTCTCTTACCCAGATTAACTAGAAAAAGGCACCACCACCTCAGGAGTAACAGTAACACATGCTTATGGAATGCCTACTCTGTGCTGGGTACTGGGCCCAGGGCTTTACTGTCCATCTCTCCGTGAGTCTTCCAAACAGCCTGGAGAAGCAGACACAATTAGGAAGCCCATCTATGGACAGGGAGACTGAGGCCCAGAGAAGTAACCTGTGGACTCATTTCCCCCTCTGATTCCTACCTCAAAAATCCACTAACCTTGGGGTGGCCAGTTAGCTCAGTTGGTTAGAGCACAGTGCTCATAACACCAAGGTTGCCGGTTCGATCCCCGCATGGGCCACTGAGCTGCGCCCTCCATAACTAGATTGAAAACAACTAGTTGATTTGGAGCTGATGGGTCCTGGAAAAACACAGTTTCTCAATAAAAAATAAAAAATAAAAAGAATAATAATAAAAAAATCCACTGACCTTACCTACAGCAGAGGAGTTAAGTCACGGCTGAAAACCAAATGCACCGCTTATCTACCTCAGGGTAGGAAAGCCGTCAACAGGTCCATTCCTGACAACCCTGTTTCCAACCCTATTCCAAACCCATTCAAGCAGCTTTCAATGACCCAGCACTCACTTTCCCACAATTGTTTGATCTTTACAAAACTTCTATGCAGGGACCCACATTTAGACAACATTTGCAGAACACAATACATAAAATCAGAGTCCTTGTCACCCAGATATCAGCAAAAGCCAGAATTCATGAGCAGCAGCTATTGTTCTAGCTCGAGCCTGTCTTGGATGTGCATACAGGAAGGACCACATGCTCTGCTGGTTCAAATCCTAGCACCGCCACTTCTGGGTAGCCTTGAGCACATGACTGAGTATCAGGAGCTCTTTCATCCACAGACCAGAGACATCACCTTCCTCTGGGGCTTGTCTGGAGACTGAGCACCCGCTCAGCAGAGGAGGCTAAGGGCCCACAGAACCTGTGACTGCACTTGTATCCCAAGTCCTTCCCGTGGTGGCCTCATCTCCCACAGGCTCTCAGTGCAGGGTCCACTTTCAGCTCTGAGAGCAAAACCAGCACGAGAAACAGAGGACTCCAGCGACCAGGGTGCAGAGCACAGCACCCAGCATTTGTCCTGAGCCAGAGAACATGCTGAAGCTCTGGGAATGGGCTCACACCAGCACTCCGGCTGCAGCCACACAGCCTCTATAGGAACTGGTAAGGCAAGTACACCAAAGAACATGACCTTTTTTTGTTATAGAAAAACCAGCTATCCGCCAACAGCATTCATATGAAAACACGTGCTGAAATTTGAAAAACCTACTACACCTAAAATGGGAAAATTTTACTGTAGTAAATTATATCTCAAGAACTGAACCAGAACAAAACCCCTTAACCCAAAACCAGCTGCTGCCACGATTGCGGGGTGCTCTGGGTGGTGAAGTGCTCTCGTGCTTCCTCTAAAGGGGCACCTGGGGAAGTGGCGACAGCTGGGGACAGCACCTCAGGGCCTTGCAAAGGAACCAGGCAATTAAAGAGGAGCACGGGGTCCTGCGCTGCCCGTGAAAGATACACACAGGCACAGACACAGGCACACCCTGCACCCCCACACCCCCAGTAAGCAAGCCCCAAAATCCTGAAATAGCACACAGGGATTCAGGACACCCAGACAGAGGTCCCCTCAACCCCCTCAAGGCCCCCGTGTAGGTGAGGATGCTGTGCCCAGCAGGGGGACGAGTTGTATGGTCAGAGGGCCACCTGTTCCCTTCCCTCCAGGGCCAGGACACGGGGTGGAACCTCAGGGACTCAGTACAGGAGCGGCCCTGAAGTCTGGACACGAGACCCAGGTCTCGAGAGCATGCTGATGCTCATGTGAGGGCTGAAAGAGGTGCTGCCCCAAGTAGTCTCCACTTCATCAGGTGCCCCTTTAGAGCGAGCACCTGTGGGCCTCACCACCATCCACCTGAGAGGTCTGAGGCACTAATGGAGGACGCAGAGGCCACCACAGGGAAAGGTCCAAGCTGAGAAACAGGCACCAAGCACCCTTGCCTCTCTCCAACCTAGAGACCAGCAAAGATCCCCTGGGTCAGAGGAGAGGGCGCTAAGACCCATCAGCCACGTCTGTGTTACTGTCCGGCCTCAGCATGGTGCTCCATCAGCTGGGGTAAGCGGGAGCCTCCAGGCAGACCCTGGGGACAGCAGGAAGGTGGGCACCACCCCAGGGAGGGAGAGAAAGGTCTGGGTGTCAAGGACCAGACAGGTCTCAGAACACAAAAGCCGCTGACCCGTGGGATCCAAAACCGCTTCTGAACCTCAGAAGAATTTATTCGAAACCCAGAGAAGACCTTCACTGGCCACAAGGATGCCATCACCACTGCCCACCCCCCAGGATACCAGTGCACAGGGCCGCTGGCGCCTTCTGCAGATGGACTCAGCGGCTCTCTGCGGATGGACTCTCTCCCCAACCACCCAAGGGGGCTACTTTCATCATCTCCTTTCCACAGGTTCCCCACAGGGAGCTGGAGAGGCTGGTGACACCTGCCCCAGGACAGAGTCCCCAGCATGGGTTCCTTTACCTCTATAGCAGCGGTTCTCAACCTGTGGGTCACGACCCCTTTGGGGGTCGAACGACCCTTTCACAGGGGTCGCCTAAGACCATCGGAAAACAAAAAGATATTTACATTATGATTCATAACAGTAGCAAAATTACAGTTATAGAGTAGCAACGAAGATAATTCTATGGTTGGGGGTCACCACAACATGAGGAACTATATTAAGGGGTCGCGGCATTAGGAAGGTTGAGAACCACTGCTCTATAGTCCCCGCCCCCTTCTCTGCACTCCAGCAGGGCAGCAAGAAGCCTCCCTAAGCAGGTGGTGGGAAGACTCTCCTTCCTGAAAGACAGCGGAGCTGCCTGCAGCCAGTCTAGCTGAACTTGTGGAAAAGCACCCAGCCACGGCCAAGCCACCTCTGAGCCAGGAAAGGTCACCATGGCCTCTTGGTGGCACCTGTGAGAAGGAGCAGAGGCAGGCTGCCAGGAATGCTTTTTTATTTTAATTATTAGGCTTAACAAAAAAGAGAAAAGCTATGGTATCAATGCGTTCCCCAAAAATTCACATGTTGAAATCCTAAGCCGCAAAGGTAATGGTGTAGGAGGTGGGACCTTTGGGAGGTGATTATGCCCTGAGGGTGGAGCCCCCGTGAATGGGATCAGTGCCCTTAGAAAAGAGACCCCATAGATCTCTCACCCCTTCTTCCATGCAAGGGCATAGCAAGAACTTGGTCACGGGCAAGAGGGGCTGGCACCCTGATCTTGGCCTTCCAGCCTCCAGAACAGTGAGCAATAAATTTCTATTGTTTATAAGCCACCTAGTCTGTGGTATTTTGTTATGTGGCCCAAATAAACTAAGACAATAGATATCAATATCTACCTACCTATCTATCTATCTATCTATCTATCTATCTATCTATCTATCTATATATCCATTGTAAATGTTTAGAAAATATATGTGGAGGAAAATAAAAGACCACTTGTAATCCTACCACCCAGATTACCCATTAACATTTTTAATATACACAATAATTCCTTTTTCCTATAAATGGTAGACATACAACTTGCTTTTTCATTCAATAATATTAAAAACTTTCCCCCACATCAGGTCATCAAAGGTTCTATTCAGAAGATGCACCATAAATTTATCTAACCCATCAGCTACTGTGGACATTCAGGGAATTTCCAGATCTTCACCACTACTCACAGCCCAGAGACGAACCCTCTAAGACCATCCATGGAATCTGGCCCTGTCACAGCATGTTGTTGCTGACTCAGGGACCCTGCGTACATTCAGGACCACGGACCAGGATGTGGCCCAGATGCTCCCCGGAGAGGCCACACCCACTCGCACTCCCACCTGCCATCACAGCGTGTCCATTTTCCTTGCCCCCACCTTCCACGGGAGAGGTGGACACAACACTTGGCCCACAAGCACTCTAGACGGACATCTCTGCTACTAGTGATCCCAGCATTCCATCACCCATGTATCACTGGTTCTACTTCCTCTTTGGTGAACTGTGCATCCTTCCTGTTGCTACTCCAGGATCCTACCTTGTTTTTGAAGTACACCTCGATGGGCATGATGAAACCAGCATAACCCGACTCCTCCACTTTGTAGGGGGGCTCCTTGCATACTAAAAAGAAAGGGAAAATGCATCCGTCAGCTTCCTGCCTGTTCAAAGGCCTGGCCACCAGCAGCAGTAAGACCGCCACCCTCTGCGCCTGCTCTCTGGGGTTCCCTAGCCTCCCAGGAGCACAGCTTTCCAGGAGGCCAACTACCCATGTGAGCATTGAATCCTGTGCCCAATTCCACGCCAAAGGGGTCATGGGGAATCAAAGGAGCAGAGCAGGAGAAAGGAGACCCCGAAACACCGTGGTGGGAAAGCGGGAAGGGACATCAGACTAGCTAAGGCAGAGCAGCCACTGGCTGCATAAGTTCAACCAATTCAGGGCATTGAGCGTGACACGGGTGAGGTGCCAGACACAGTGGAGCCCCGGTCTTCCAGGCAGGGCAGTGCACACTACAGCACCCACCTCCTTCCACCACTCACTCAAACACGTATACTAATACCAGGAGATGGAGATGGCCTGGTCTCAGCTGGGACTCTCTCCTGGGTCCATTTTAGCACCTAACAAAAGCGTTCCCAAGTGAAACTAACAGACTCATTAATCCAGTTATTAAAAAAATGTTGAAACTAAGAACAGCAAAGTACAGGTAAAATAATCTTCCGCCATCTCACCCTCCAAAATGTATTGTCAATGTTTTGACACATCATGCTTTCATTACGCTAATAATGTAAAAATACTGTTCTCCCACTTTTAAGAAAAAATCAGAACAGTAATCCTCCTTGTCCTCCTCCCCACCCTCTCCAGAGGCAACCACTGTTGAAACAAGAAAAATCCTGCCAATTGTTAAAACCTTTATGCACATATGTCTCTACCAGATAATTAAATTAAATGGGTCAGAAATTGCTAAAAAGCAGTACATGGAACATAATGAAACATGACTTTTTAAAATTAAAACACTGTAAGGGTCTTCTTTAAAAATAATCTTTTCAGCTCTCAAAAATCTCATCAAATATCTATCATATATCTCAAATATCTCATGTATCTCATCTATCCAAACAAAACTGTCAGACAGGGTGGGCTTGGAGATACTAAGCGACCCTCCAGGGCAGGGCTGGCTGGACAGCCTTGTATGGGAACCAGTGCCAAACCCCAGGGGAGCAGGGGAGGGTGTGGCTCAGGCTTGGAGAATCCCTGCTGGCCCTACAGATAGGAGCTCTCAAGGGTGACCTCAGCCCCAAATCTCTATTCCAGCCAGTCTCCTGCTCCTCAGACATCCTCCCATGGGAGCTGGATGGGCACCTCAGATGCAGCCCACCCCAAACCACCTCCTCATCCACCTCCTAACCTGCACCTCTCCCAGGGTCACACAGCTTGGGACCCAGGCCGTCTACCACTCACCCAAGGACTGAGGACACCAACCCCTCCCTCTCCCACAGCTCACCTGTCACCAAGCACTATCAGGTCCACCTCCAAACTGCTCTGGGATGCACCCCACTGCCCGGTACCCAGTGGCTCTCATGTATGTCACTGCCCAGAGCCTCACTAGCTGTCCTGCCTCAGGCTCACTCCTGGGCATCTTCTGCAGGGGCAGCAGGAATGACAGTTCTGAATTGCAAACCTGACTGTGTCCCCTGATGGCTCCCGACTGCCCTCAGGACCAACTGTGAGCCCCTCAAGGGGGCCTGCAGGGCGCTTCATCACCTCCAGCCTCATCTCCCATCAGCCTGACCTCAAGTCCTAAGATCCAGCCTCAATGAACCTCTCAGATCACAGGTCACTTCCTCCCAGACTCCTGGCTCTGAGTAACCCCATTTCCAGGTCACAGCTCCCTCCCACAGGCCTCCAGCGCCCTGTGTCACTCAATCACAGGACTTTCCATACTTACTCTGGCCATCTTTCTCAGCTCTATACTCACTCAGTGTCACATCCCCAGGACTAATCTTTCAAAAACATTCAATTAAGTATCTGTCAAATACTGCTGAGTGGGCCATATGCCATGCCTCCCTCAGGTCCTCCACCAAAGTAAGGGGATGGACCAGGAGCAGAAGTAACCTGGAGTGGGGGCCAGGTCATGGACCACCTCTCCCGGAGCCTCTCGCTCCTGTTTGAACAGACTAAGAGAGGAAGTGGGGTCTCTCCAGCTGCAAGAAAGCTGCCTGCCTAGTGCTCTGCCAATCTCACCGACCATGGGCACCCTGCAGTCTGCCCTGTGTGCTTGAGTGTAGCACAGAGCTGGGCACCTGGCAGACACAAGAATGCTTGTTGAATTAATTTGAATCCAGGATGGAAAGCGGAAGTGGAGCAGAGAGGAAGGGTGGCCTGTCCTCATTGCAAAATCCCTCAGAGGAGGGAGATATGAGAGGCCTTCGGACTTGTTCCCAACTCCACCCCCCTGCCAGTGTCCTCCCCACCCACCCCCAGCCAAAATCCCATCAGCCATCAAGGCTCCAGTCAGGTCCCACCTCCTAGCAGAGACAGACCTGGCTTCCTTTGGCCTCTGACCTTCAGGTCACTCCTCCCCCTACCCCCCCCCCAGGGAAGTTATCTTTCCAAGAGGTCACACCTGATCTCCAAGTCCCCACCAGACTGCAAACGCTTTGAAGAAAGAGATCCTGCTGTATGTTTCTCAATCTCTCCAAAGGCGTATCACCTGACAGGCACTCCAAGGTTAAAAAATGTCTATACTTTCAGAAATGGGAAAGAGGGACCACAGAGTACAGGCTTCCAGACCCACACAGGAGACCAAGCAGAGGCACTGGCCTGCCGTCCCACCTGAGAGCCCACAAAAACCAAAGCAAGTCAAATACGATAGGAAACAAAGCCGGGAGAGTGAAGGGGGAGGGAGGTGATGTGAGCAGTGGAGAAATTTCTGGGAGGCAAAACGTGGATGAGAGCATTCTGGGCAAGGAAACAGGAAAAGGAAGCTGCAGCCCAGAACATGCCATGGGGCGCTGCAAGGCAGGCAAGAGCCCAGCTGTTGCCAGAACCCTGAAGGGTCTAGGGTGTGGCATCCACAGGCTCAGTGGAGGGCAGAAGGGAAGCTGGAAGAGGGAAAGGGAAGAAGAGAGGCGGTGACTGCTAATGGTGGGCAAGAAGCTTGCTTATTTGTGGGGTGATGAAAATGTTCTGGAATGAGAGAGTGGTGGCGGCTGCACAACCTAGTGAATACACTAAAAGCACTGAATTGTACACATGAAGATATTTAATGGTGAATTTTACCATGTGTGACTTTTATCTCAGTAAAACAGTTATTAAAAACAAAACAAAAAAAAGTCAAATGGAGAGGCTGTATTTAAACAACAGCCCTGGAATCCCTGCTGCCATTCCCCCACCCAGGGCATAATCCAGGTGGCTCCACGGCTGTTGTCTCGGGAGAAGAGTCAACTTCTGGAGGAAGCTCAAGCCTCCAGTATGAAAGCTGGATCCAGAGTAAAGCCTTCCTCATTTAGGAAATTGGGGAGCCCATCTCCCTCACCAGACGCCTACTGGTTAACAACCATCCTGCCCTAATAGCGCTCAATAAGAGTTCCTACCTGCAGGAAAGAGCCCAAGGAAACAGGAATAATTTAAAGACCACAAGAGAACTTGCGGAAAACAAAAAACAAAAAACTGAAACTAGAGTCATTGTCCTTAAATCCAAGACATGACCAACAAATAAAAACAAGATAGTTTTATAAAGGAAAATGAGAGAATAAGGAAGGGCTCTTTGGTATTACAAATACAGTACTTACAATTTTTTAATTTAGTGCAAAGACTAGAAAATAAAGCCAAGGAAATTTCTCAGAATGTAGAGCAAAAAGACTTTTGTTCTAAAAATGTGACAAATGAAGAAACAATTCAGCAGATTAAACGAAAGCTAACAGAGGCTAGTATTTATGTGCCAGGCACTGGTCTCAGCACTTGATACATATTCATTCATTTAATCCTCACAACAAGCCTGAGGCAGATAAAAATGTCCCCACTTTACAGATACAAGGCTTAGACACAGAGAAGTCTAGTAATAAGCGTTCTAGAAAGACAAAACCGAGATAATAAACAGATGGAAAGAAACTGTAAAAGAAATAGAAGAAAATTTTCCAGAGCAAAATGAAGGACACCAAGCACCCAACACAAGGAACACAGTCAAAAAAAAAGAAACACAGTCAAAAAAAGACCCCAGAAACAATATCCTAAAAGAATCATTAAAAATATCCTAAATGCGGCAGCCCCACCCCTGGAACGGGAGCTTTCGCGGCCTCGCGGTAAACCAAGGTTTCATTTTCAAGATGGAAAGCCCTTCAGACTCAGCTGTGATATTACCTAGCACTCCACAGGCCGGTGCCAATCCACCATCTCCCTATAGAAGTAGTTCAAGAAAACAACCTATGAGTGCAACACTTAGAGAAAGGTTAAGAAAAACTAGATCTTCATTTAATTCCTGTTACAGTGTGGTAAAACGTCTTAAAGTAGAGAATGAAGAAAACAATCAGAGCTTTTCAGAGAAACCAGCATCTTCAACAAAAGAAAGCTGTTTGGAATTTCAGGAAAATTTTAAACACATTGACAGTGAATTTAGAGAAAGTACATAGTTGAAAAATACCTTCAAGAATATCAGTGCATGTGAATCTACTGGGTCTTGCAGTGATCTCCAGAATGACTTTGTGAATCAGAATCTTCCCAAACAAGGATTAAACGAAGAAAAAGCAAAATTGGTGAAGCAGATTCAAGAGAAAGAAGACCTTCTTCGGAGGCTAAAACTAGTCAAAATGTATAGATCAAAGAATGACCTGTCACAGTTACAGTTGTTAATAAAGAAGTGGAGAAGCTGTAGCCAGCTGTTGCTTTATGAGTCACAGTCAGCCATGTCCAAGGAGAACAAAAAACTCAGCCTTACTCAGTTGATAGACCACTATGGATTAGATGATAAATTGCTACATTATAACAGAAGTGAAGAAGAATTTATAGGTGTTTAATTTATATTTTTTCCTCCAGAATATCTTTGAGAATGACAGCTTAAAAGATACTACATTTTAAAGTGAAGATATAAACCATTAGGGGTTACAGAAAGGTATCTTGATGAACATCAATTTAGGTTACTCTGTTACATAAATGTAAACTAAGTTCTAAAATGCAAACTTTTTATTTTGGATAAATTTGCCAAAGAAAATTTTACATTTAAAAACTGTGAAAAAAAATTTTAAATCCTGTTTTAAAAATAATTTGGGCATTTCTGGAAGTTGTAATACATTGTTTTGTTTATTGTGGTAAAAGGTTTTATTTTAAATGTTAAAAAAAAGTCAATGGCGACTGGACTTGGAGCTGAGCTAGCTGTGCCCTCCACAACTAAGACTGAAGGACAACAACTTGGCTGTTCCCCTTCTCCAATTCCCCAACACTGTTCCCCTATCCCAATTCCCCAATAAAATGTTTAGGGGGAAAAAAAATATATCCTAAATGCTTCTAGAGGAAAAAAAAAAAATAGCAAGCTCATCTGCAATGGAACAAGAACTCAGACTTCTCTGAAAACAAAGCAACAGATTCTTTCACAGCGCTAAGTGATAGTAATTCTCAAGCTAGACTATTATGCGCAACCAAACTATCATTCCAGTGTGAGAACCAAACAATGGCACTTTCAAATAAATACTAGGTGTCAAAGAGTTCATTTACCACACACCTTTCTTGGGAAATTTCCTAAGTAATTAATTTCTTGGGACATTACTTGAGAAATTACTTCAGAAAAACAAGAAAATAAACCAAAATATAGGGTAACAAATAAATCCCCTCAGGAGAACAGTAAAGGAACCTCCCGGGGGATAGCTAAAGAGGTGGCCTCAAGAGTCAGTCCAGATTGGAGAAAAAGACAAGAACAAGAGAACCAGAATGAAATATGCAGGGGGCGGAAATCCAATTGACTAAATGAAATGATTGAGGACAAGAAAAAAAGTGAAGGTACGATGAAGACATGAAGCAATGAGAGAAAAAGGAGAAGCAAAAGACATGCACAAAGTCAAGGCCCAAACATGAAGCAAAGTAAACAGGGCTAGATTTTAACCAAGAATGATACAGAAATAATCCATCTAACCTTGACATGACCTTGAGTGTCCCTTTGAGTGGCTCAGAGTTCACAGAGAGGATGAATGAAATCCTGGCATCCTAACCAGCCAGATAGTGAACAGTCAATCAAGCCAATACCACTTACTGGTTTCCAACTTTTAGCCAATTTCTGATCTGGGAGTGGAAGTCTTGGTTTTAGTTCAACAACCTCAACAATGTCAAATGTAGCTCCCAAAAGGAGGGGTGAAAGGTTCAAGGAAAGATAGGGTTGTTCATGTCCTTCTCTTCCGAAGCGGTAAGTCAGAAGACAATGACAAAAGGTGACAAGAGTTGAAGAATCCATTCATTTACGCAACAAGTATTTAGTAAGCACCTAATGTATCCTTTCAACACCAAGGATATAGCAGCAAACTATAGCAACACACAAATCTCTCACTTGGAGGAGGTGGGGAAATGAACAAGATAAGTAAATAATGCTGTGTGTGTGTTAAGATGGTGTAATGGAGAATAAAACAGAAAAAAAGGCTAAAAGCATGAGGCTGTTTAAGTGTTTTGAGCAAAGGAACTGCGAGTTAGACCCGGTGGCCAGAGCTTCCTAAAAACAGGGTGACAGGGAGCCTTTGTGGAGGATCCGAAAAGTAAGCAGGTTTGCTCATTATTCAAAATCATAAAGACAATCACCACAAAACAAACCACTTAACTATAAAACATTTAGGGCAGACAGTGGATAAAAGGGATTGTGGTTTAGTATAATGTCTAGCTTTATATGCTGGTAAGTTAATAAATATTTTTTTTAATTTGAAAAATCAAGAACTAAGAAGCAAATTCGCTCCCACTAATTTAAGGTGTTAAGGAAGGAAGCAATCTAGAAAGGGCAGAAAGATTGCCCCTGGGGTGGTATGACCAATGACAAGATGGGAAATGGAAACTTTCCACCTGGCACATTTCTGTTGGATTTGTTATGTGTATATATTTGATTTTAAAGATACTTTTCAAGGGCATAACGTATAATTTCAGAGGCTAGAGTACTGTAAGAAACTCATTCGCTCTTTAACCAGATCCATTTTTCATTGACAAATGGCAAGGTGTAATCTAACCAAGTTTTGTTCAATACAACAAATAGCTAACCTGCCATTACCATTTGATACATCTTGGGCAGACTTTGCAACAAGTACCATTCAAATACTAACTTAAACTCCACCCACAAACTGACACTTGAAGAAAGTGGGCCTCAGCTCATCACCCATTTCCCAGGTACTTGGAGCTCCGAGACTGTGCCGCTTGCACATGCCCACAAGTAGGTTACTGGGTCTCTCTGAACCTGTTTCCGTATTTACTTGGCAGGGATTCTGGGAGGTCCCATGTCACAGGGCTGTCATGAGCACAGCACACAGACCAGCCAGTGCGGGACAATGTAGATTGTTATTACTTCTAGTAGCTGCTTGGTTAATGACCCTGTGGGGATGAAGATATTTATAAAATATCTTCCTTTTATAAAAAATAAACTGATTATAAAAAATAAACAGTATAAAGGTGACTAGAAATCCCCATCATGGGCCCACGCAGAGAGAAGGGAAGAGGACAAGTGAGGGAGATGGTGAAGGAACCAGAGTGGAAGCTGCCAGAGAAACAAGGAGGGCCCAGTCCAAGAGAAAGGCAGCCACAGCTTCTACTCTGCTGTTAGTCTGACAGCAAGTACAGAGGCCACCTGAATGAATGGGCGTGTCCAGGGCCAACAAAAACAGGCAGCGCTACCAGGCCCCCTGGGCCTAGCGTGTGGACCCCTGCTTTAAAGCTCAGGAAGCTTACCTGGCCCCCTTGAGCCTGTTTCCCCATCTATAAAAAAGGGTTGTGAGGAGAAAGGATGGAGGCCCTGCAGGAAGTACTTGATAAGGGGCATGTACTTTTATCACTTATTGTTACAGATATCTGCTGTTGTCAGTAACCATAGCTGCTCTCTTCCAAGAGGCTCAAAGGTGAAAGAAGGAAGGAAAAGGAGAGAAGGGGAAGACTCAGCAAAGGAGAAATGAGAGAAAGGAACAGCTGAAAGCTGACGGAAGAAACCAGAAGAAAAATAGCTACCACACCACTAGGAATCTCGAGCTGTCTTCCCTCTGAACTAGAAGTTTCTGCTTCTGTAACATACCTCACTTCCCCACTAGGCCGTAAGCCACTTGCTGGCCCAGGGCCAGGGCCAGGCCCAGGCCCTAGTGGGTCCCAGGATGTGCTGCTGCTTGTGCCTGAGGCCATCCACGCTGGCTACAGCTCAGCCCCTGGTGCCCCTGAAACCTGTACTGCAGGCAGAGAGATCAGCAGCCCAGCAGCAAAAAGGCCTTCACGCCTTTATCAACACATCCATTCAAGAAATATTTAATGGTGTCAACTACCCGTCTCAAGTGTTAACTCCTCCTAGCAAATGCAGTTTCATCTTTCTATTGATGTTATCAATAAGGTACAATGCATTGTGTGACACACATACACATGCGCGCGCGCACACATGATCCCTGTGACATGCCAGGCTTCGCACTGCGGATTCAACAGTAAGGATTGCAGAAAACATGAATGAGGCACTTGTGCTTATCAAACATCAGCCTGAGGGGTGACACAGAGAAGGAAGACGTAAGAAACAAGACAGTGGTGAAATGAGTGCCTTTTATAAAAGCTTTTTGCCCCAAATATCATGAGTTCTTAAAATGGCATCTCTCATCAAACGTAGGCCCAGTAAGCAATTTCCTGATTACTCACCAAGTGGGTGTATGTCACCCTTCCCACCCACTGGCCACTGACTATGTTCCCTGGAGGCTTCTCAGAGCCTGAGTCTAAATAATGACATGAGACACAGTCGCCACCTCCTTTGGGTTTTCCCTGCGATGAACTCAATAGCTGAAGGAGAAGCAGAAGGGAGCGAGAGGGACCTTTATAGGCTCAGAGAAGAGCCGCATCCTGGCCAGGCAACTTCTCACCGGCATGCTGTGGGGTGCAAGCCCCAGAAACTCACAATGTGGGCCCAGCTGCCCTCCAGGAAGAAAGTGATTATCAAATGGGTAGTATTGAAGGTACTCAGCCCTACTGGGCTGCCAACCTGGGGATACAGGGGCACTCACCACGCTTGGGCTTGGGGAAGCTGTCGTGCAGCCGGAAGACCACCTTCTCCACGAAGTGCTGGATTTCACATTGCTCGGGGCCACGGACGAACACCATCCAATCGTGCGTGAACCCCTCCGTGGTGGGCTTCTTGCGCAGTTGGGCCCGGTGTCCCAGCTCTAACTTGACCTGGACAGTGCACTGGCGGGAGTAAGAGGCAGGTACACAGGGTCAGCACAAAGCCCAGAGGAGAGGACTTCCAGCTGTCCTGCCTCATCACCCTCAGAGCATGGTCAGCACTGGCCACAGAGAGGGACCACGGCCTTCCGAGCTATGACAAGAACATGAATCACTTCTGGGTGCTCCCAGTGCACCAGGCCCTGTGCACATGCTTTACATGTCTCCTCTTCCCAGCAAGCCCAGACCAGGCCCCATGTCTCCTCTCCATCCTCCCCCTCAGCCTCTCCATTCCTGCCTCTGGGCCTGGGCACCTGTGGTTCCGTCTGTCTCGGGTGCTCTGCCCTAGACCTTCCCTGGCTGACTCCTTCCCGTCACTGAGGTCTTGGCTGGACTGTCACCTCCTCAAGGAAGCCTTCCCTAACGTCCCAATATGAAAGCACCCACCACCACATCATCTATCTTCTTAGCATTTTTCATTATCAGAACTCTTCTTGCGAATGGTTCATCTGCTCTGTTCTAACGTTGACTCATCAGGGGTGGTTCCTTATCCGGAGCTGGAACCCCCAGCAAGATCTCCCAGAACACAACAGTGCAACCTGGAGTGCAATGACCCCCTCTTACAGATGAGGAGCCTGAGGCTTCAAGAGTGAGCTGCCAACAGCACACGAGACAGAGCCCAGGTGGCAGTGAGCAGGGCCCAGACTCCAGCCCAGGTGTGTGTCACCCCAGGGCCTGCTCCCTTAGCCACTCTGACAGCTTGCCTCCCTGGTCAAGCCACCCATTATTAAATGATTAAAGCCTTTTTTCTTCTCCTTCATCCCACAGAATGCCTCCTAGAGAATAGAGACCCTCGAGGCCACCTTAGTCATCCACACAAACGCTGGCTGTTTTAAAAGTAGAATGGTGAGAATGGAGGGGACAAGCTCGAAGCCACCTGGGGCCAGGTCCCAGGTGGACCTGCAGCCCAGAGTCAGGCTTCCTGCATCATGCACACATCTGATATTCAGCCCTGAAATGAGGCAACTCAAACCAGTTCCACTCCACTGAAAGCCCCAAAACTTCAAAGCACTGGCAACACCGAGGGGGGCCAAAACACCACCAGGGAACCTACTGTAAACTGCCACTCTCATGGGTAAGATCCTCCCCAGACTTCCAACAGATACAGCTCGACACTTAGTATCAAGTGCAAGAATGATACAAAGAAAGCAGAGGCCAAGTGGACACCTGTTCCTAAGTGCTGAGATAACCAGGAAGGAGCAAGTCGTCGGTGGCATGGATGCCTCACTTCCCAAAGGCCGCTTCCCCCGTGCTGGGCTCCCAGCCCTCCCCCAACAGAGCCACCAACCCAGCTCCAGACCAGAACTCTCCCACTCTACGCTTTCCACCCTCTTTCTCACCCAACCCACTGACGACGTGTGTCCCTATGGCCATCCCTCCGTACCCACCTCTTCCCTGACCTGCCTCTTCTCTGTGATTCACACCCTGTTCAGTCCCCGCCACCAGTGTCCTCCCTCATGCTGCTCCGTCACTGTGAGGAAAGCAGGGCAGCCAGATTCTATCTTTCACCCTGTTTCGCAGCTTTCCAAGTCTCGCCACGCCCTCAGAATAAAGTCCAAACGCCTCAGCACACCACCTGTCTCCCACCTCTGGGTCATTTACTCAAGTCTGAGATGATCATTATTTTTCACTTTTTAACCCTTTTGAGGTCGGAGTGTATCTTACAGTTCACGTGTTAAGTTTCATGTACCAAGGGTCCCACCAATGTGCGTGCACACAAAGCTTTCCCTAAGCTGATGGTGTGCCTGAGAGGCTCAGAACTGAGGAAGCGCAGGAAATGCACACACCTCCATTCCAGCTCAACTAATAAGACACTAGCCATGCCAAAACACACCGGGAATGCCCACTCCTGTCTACCTGCGCTCCTCCTAGCCTGCAGCCTGGGGTGCCCTACTCTCATTTCTCTGCTGATCGAATTCTACCCATCCCTTAAGCCTCAGCTTAAGTGCTACTTTCTCCAAAGCCCTTACCAGTTGCCACATTGGACATCAACCTGCCCCTCAGTCTCCACAGCAATCTGTGTACAAACATCTATCTCCATGGAACCCACTTCATCCCGCCACTGTTCACTGCTGTCTCCCCAGGGACCATGTCTCAATCGTCCTTTCAACCTCTAGCTTGGAACCACAGTACACGATACTCGGTGAGTCAAACTAGAGGACCTTGCTAGATCAACAAGCTAGATCAACAAGCTCCAAGAGGAAGAACCAATAAGGACAGCGATAAGGACACTGTGGTTCCAACGTATGGAGGAGCTGACGGAAGCTCCGGGTACTTAGTGAACAGCTGTAAAAACAGGACAGGAGGCGTTCCCCGGGCACAGGACAGCCCCTGTGGGGCTTCTCAGGAAAGAGCAGGGACTTGCTGGGACTGGGTCTACTGGAGGCAGAGGCAGGCATCGTATGGGATGGAGCATTTAGATTCAACACAACAGAAATGACAGCCAATTGTAAGCAGAGGATGGACACAAGGACACAGTATGTGAGTAAAAGGGCCCAGGCAATCCATGTAGTCTGGGCTGAAGGCAGAAAAGGACAAGCAAGCAAGCCTGCATGGAGGCAACCAGAGGGTGTGGCTGGAAACAGAGACTGAGTTGAGCCTGAAATGGGAGAACTCACAGAACCTCAGGGTGAATGGAGGAGAAGAGCTGGAGAGGCTCAAATAACGTGGAGACCCAGGTAGCTGAGATGCTGCGATGCCAAGTAACGGTGGGCAGGGGACTGGGGATATTCAAGGGGAAATACCCCACCAAAAGCTAGAGACGAGGGACTAAATGTCTGGATAAACATGTAATGCTCAAATCAACCACAAGCATCTTGCTGCAGAGCACTGCATACAGACAACGTTCAACATAAACAAATCCAAGTGATATTTACATTATCCTCAAAGGCATGATCACCATACACACGTCCCTGTGTATAAAAAAACTCTGCCTTTCTCTCCAACCTTTTCACACTGAGAAATCAGGAGACAATCCCTGGATTGCTGGGAGGGTTACAGGTGAAAAGCTAAATACCTATAATCATAACAATAACACACTGGCACATGACTTTTCGTTTTTTGGAGTTAACTCCCACGTAATGAGACCTCTCCTCAGATTCTGTTATTCACCAATCCAGCTGCCTTCTGGCATTTCTGATTATGTGGAATTTCTACCCAGGGCACACAAGCGGCAGAGCAGTTATTGCGGAAGAAACGGAGACCACAGTCCCATCAGAGAGGGGTAAATGGAAGCATCAAAAATACATTCCAGAGGCCAAAGTAAACAGGAAGGTTCTGAAGCAGTGGTGTCATCTCTGCAGCTGGCAGGCCATGCCCAAAGCTCATTGGGCGCCATCTATGCCCTGGAAGCTGGCACCAACTCAGCCTCCATACCCCCAGGTTCAAGGTGCCAATGAAGGCTGTATACACTGGTGCACTCAGGAGAAGATTACTCCCCTGAATGCTGGAATCGTCTAAGAAATAAAGATGGTAGAATAACAGATTCTGGACCACTATATTAGAAGTCACCGATTCAGTAAGACGTTCAATCTACACTGAACTACAGGCAAGCAAGAAGCTGAGCCCTAGCCAACAACTTGGACTTGTTCTGCTAATTTATTCCACCTCCAGGGGTCCCACCCTGCTCCTTCCTTACTCTACCTGGACTCCTTCCCCGTCCAGTAGAACGAAAGAATTGAAGCAAGTCAGTTAGCTCTTTCTCTAGGAAGGGTGCCTGGCTAAAAGGGTTAATGTCAGGTAGATGAAGCTCAGGACTGCTTTGGAATGAAGACTCTCACCGTCCCGGCTGCATGGAGGCCCTTTGTGGGATCTCCAGAGTGAGTGCCACCCACTTTGCCACCCACTCCACTCCCTCAACAAAAGGGAATATTCCAGGGCCAGCGGAGTGGCTCAGTTGGTTAAGAGCTCACTCAAGAGTTTGAGCTCTGAGCAACAGCAGTTCGATTCCCGGCATGAGCTGAGCAGCCACTGAGCTGCCAACAGGTGGCAGGAGGATGGCTCAGCTTAAAAAAAAAAAGAAGAAAAAAAAAGGGAATATTCCAGGCCTGCCCTGGAAAGGGTTAACCTATTTTATTTTACTTCTGGGACATCATCCCAAAGACCTGCGGATAGAGATGGAGCAGCACAAGGGTTCTGAGGGCCATCTGGGGACAGTTAACCTTGGGCAGAGGGCCTCAGCTGGGCACTGCCTTCTTCCAGGCCAACTGGCAGAAGGCACTTGGAACCCAAGGGCCAAACTCCTAAGTCCTGCAAGCCAGGCAAACAGATCCTGGAGGGCAGTTCTCCAGGCACCTCTTCACTAGAGCACAGAGCCCCAGTGTGGGCTTGAACAGCCCCCACCTGGCAAAGAGAAAGAGCCAGCCTGGTCCCAACAGTTCCACCCTTTCGATGCCCTTTCTTCATCGGATCCTTTCCGTACCCCGTGAGCCCTGCCCTCAGCCTGGTCCCCAGAAGGCAGATCTTGAACCATGAGTTTATCTTTAAGATTTCCCAGTTTTCTGGTGGGAGGAAAGTCTCTTCAACAGATGACTTTTCCTCTGAGAATTCACACTTTACCAAGTGGCATAATGATGCCTGGAGTTTGGCTACTGCAGCTAATTCCCTCAGATGCGACAATTCCCTCCCCTCTCAGGAGAAAGCACCCAAGAGCCTTTTCCCTCATCAGTCGGGACTGAGACTGCTGGCATGGTGGTCCACACATGCAGAAATGGGAAAAGGTACTGGCTCCACAAAGCGACAGCAACACAAGACCAAATAGAATACTTCAAAGAACTTTTTCCCTCCAGATCCAGAGGGGAGTTCTCAGGAGCAGCCACTGAATGAGAATGTGAGAAAGACAGGGGACCGACATACCTCTGCGACAATCCTCTCAAGAAGAGGGCAGCCTGACCAGAGGTGGAGACAGAACCAAGGGCAGGAACCTCTCTAACCAGTGGCACACAAGGGGCTGGCGGCAAGCACCTGCCCTCTTCTGGCTCCGTCAGGCTTTGTCCCTTTCATCCAGGGCACAAATTAATGACAAAGGGATGAAAAGGGACTCAATGAATACTCTTGGAAACTCTAAGGATAAGTGTGCAGACCACGTGGATATGCAAACACACCCACAATCCTTAACTTTCAGGTTCCATGAGGCCGGCTGAGTGGCTTAGTTGGTTGGGAGCGCGAACAGGTTCAATTCCCACGTAGGCCAGTGAGCTGCGCCCGAGCTAAGCTGCTACCAAATGGCAGGATGACTCAGATGGTGAGAGCACGTGCTCCTAACAACAAGGTTTCCAGCTCGACTCCCACATGGAATGGTGGCTATGCCCACCCACAACTAGGATTGAGCACGGCACCTTGAGCTGAGCTGCCCGGGGCTGCCAACGGGCAGCTGGATGGCTACTGGACTTGGAGCTGGACTAGCTGCGCCCTCCACAGCTGGGATTGAAGGACAGTAACTTGGCTGTTCCCCTTCCCCAATGCCCCAATAAAATCTTTTAAAAAAAAGAAAAAAAAATTTTCAGGTTCCTGGGAAGATAGACCCTCACTAGCTTGCCAGGAAGGCCTGGGACAAGGTATATATTATAAATGCACGAGATACCCGAAGATGTGTAGACAGTGTGCCGAGCGTTTCCAAAGTTCTCCAGGGAGCAGTCTGGTGAGACTTCTGAACGTGCGCCACACCAATAAAGGCATCTGTGGCCAGCCCCTGGTTACGAGGGGCTGAATCCTAGTTACTTTTATTTAACCAACAGTTGGTGAAGCTCATGCAAAACTGTGTTACACACGACAACAGACATAAAAGGGAGCAGGACTCGGGTCCCTGCCCTCAAGTACTTTACAACATAGTAACTCCAGGACAAAAAACTTGCAGGTCAACTTTCCAAGCAATAGTTTCTGAGCTGGGTGGGGAGAATCTGGTCACCCTCACATCAGTGCTCCGTGCAGTTCCGAGCGCTTCTCCGGAAGGTTTCGGGCTTTGAAAGAGCAGAGCTGCCTAAGAATCCCACCAGGCCTGGACTCCTCTTGGGACCTTCCAGGCCTGCACTTCCACACCTGTAAAATGGGCCATCGCCGTTAGAAACAAAACTCCCCTTCCGGAACAACAAAGTACAGTCACAAGCAGTTGTTCCCAAATTCAAACTCAGGAGAGCCTTTTGAGGAATCAGCATCGATTCAACTGTGTGACTCAAAGGGTCATCCACCCACCTGACGTGCCAGGCCCAGGCTTCTGTGAAGAGAGGACTCCCTGGTCCTTTGGAGAACATGACCACCCAGGTGCTGACACCACTTCTAGCTCCCCAGGCACCCTTCCTCATCCTCCTTTCCTGATATCTTTAGCATCTGCGCAGCCTTTAACTATGCCCATTCCTTGGAAACTCATCACACACCTCCCAGAAACGACCCCTAAGTAAACGAAGATCTGCCCCACAAAGTACATTCACCCCCTCACCCCTAAAATAATACAAATCCCACAAACAATGGATTGTAAGTACAGACATGGGGTCAGGGCAGAGGGAACCAGGGAGACTTTTCCTATCCATGGGGAAAGATTTCAACACTGACAAGTTGAGAGCCCAGAGCAATATGCAGAATCCCTCTTCTTAGCTGGACTGAAAGTTCTAGAGAACACACCAGGCAGTTAAAGAGAAGCAAAGCCTCCCGAAGTCAGCAGGCATTTTCGGGGAAAGTCCTGTTGTTCCCCTTCAGACTGGGTCATTTATAGGTTTAGGGCAGCCTAGGGGAGAAAGGGAAGGCTGAGATTCTGCAGGATTCAAAGCCTTTGCGGTGCACCAGAAGTCATTCTGGAACACTGACAGCCAACCCGCCTACTTGGGTACAAGACAGACACCATTCTCTCCCGTCTCCCCAGGGACCGCTGTCCCTGTCAGGAAGGGACAGACCTCCTGGGCCTCTCCCAAATTTGCATGAAAATACAGCCAAGGATGGAGAATCAGTCTATGGCGTAACACATACCTTCCTTTGGGACCAGTTTCACTTGCAGATACTTCCCCAAGGACTTAGACCAGCACTGTCCAATGGAACTTCCTGCCATCTCTCCGCGCTGCCCAATGAGGTGCCCGACAGCTCGGTAAGGGTGATTACTGAACACTTAATATGTGGCTAGTGCAACTGAGGAGCTGGCTTTTTCATCCTGGTTTGTTTCCATTTAAAGAGCCACAGGCGCTAGTGGCCACAGTGTGTTCCATCCAAGCTAGGCTGTTATCTCTGTCACGGACCAAGAATGCCACCTATTCTCACCATTCCACTTACATAAACAACAACCATCCAGGTAGCCAGGGCTGGGCACGTCACAAGGGGAATGGACACTGTTGGGCCTAAGACATCTCCCGGGGGACTAATGGGCAGGGTGAGAGGCAGGAGTGACAGTCTATGACTGTGTGGTGCCCACCAAGCCTTTCCAGAGGTGAGCTTTGTTAGAAGTGGACACTGGAGGTATGTTTTAATTCAATATAAACTGGAGACAACAAGCTCTGTCCCTTCCAGGGAAGTGAACTCACACTATGTTGTAGAAATCCACCATTCAACTATGATGAACTCTTCCTTACCTCTCAAGAAAAAGAGAGTAACACCAAAGCCACAAGGGAAATCATGGTGAGAGGGTGCCACAAACACTAGTCTCAATGATCCTGTGCTACCACTGGCAGCTGGTATGAGCAGGGGGAGGTCTCCTGCCCCAAACCCCTGAAACCTCGCAGCCACACAGTGCCTTACCAGACAGAGCCACCTCCATGACGCCAGGGACGCCCCAACCTGCCCTTGCTAACGGCGGAGATTTCAGCTGCCACCCCCACAGCCCCACAACGCCTTTCCTGGCCTCGTGCCCCTGGAAGCCAGGGGCAGCAGGGGAGCATGAAGAAATAAATGAACCTCTACTGGAGGCCACAGTGGTCCTGAGCTTCAGAAGGGGATAGGGCCTGGGTACTGAAGGGGAGATGGCACAGAGCTGATGAAGGGGGACCAGAGGCCAAAAAGGCCTCAGGTTTACCAGAACTGACAGGATAGGCTCCGTTTCCAGAAGGAAGGGAGAGGGGCCATGGGGAGAGTTGATGGAGGTTGAGGAATCACCAGGTATTTGGAGCAAGGCTCTCGCCAGAGGTTCTAAGATGCTGGGGAAGGCAGGAAAAACAGGGTGTGCTGGGAGAAGAGGATCGTGGCTGAAAGTCACAGCATCAAGCTGGGGGACAGTGGAATGAAGTGAGAGACCCTGGAAGTAAGAAGAGGCACTAGGGTTCTGGGGAGATTGCAGGTCTATGAAGGGAGGCTGAGTGAGGTTGAAGGAAGCTTCGGACTGATGAGATTCAGATTGGGGGGAAATGTGGGGATGTGTAAACCAGGGTTCCAGGGGCCAGCTGAAGGCCCAAGCTGAGGGGAGCGAGGCATCTGGTGTCTGAAGGGTGTGGGTGCTCCAGGTCAGAGCAGAAAACTGCCCCTGAGCCAGGTCTGAAGGTGAAGGATACAGCCCCTCAGGCACTGGGGTGGCAGGGAGAGTGACTAGGGCCTGATACCAGAGGAGGCTAAGACAGCAGAGTGGGTCAAAGGAGTCTGAGAAAGCAAGCCCAGGTCCAAAGATGGGGGGCGCTCAACGCAGGCCTGGGTCCTTGTGTGAAAAGACCCAGGACCCAGCGAGGGTTTGAAGGGGAAGGGACACTCAGGCTGAGGCAGGGGCAGGATCAGAGGCGAGAAAGGGCTCAGGCCTAGAAAAGGATGAGCAGTAAGAAGGCTTAGGGTCGAGGAAGCAGAGGGCTGCAGACCAAGATCCCAGTGGTTCTGGGGGGACTCAAATCCCAACCAAGGCTTAAGGGAGAGAAGATACAGCAGGTTGGGGGGCTCAGGGAGTTTGAAGGGAATCAGGGCCAAAGGTCCAGGGAGAAAAGAAGACACAGACCGGCCCTGGATCCAAAGGAGAGTACAGGCCCCTGAGGAATCTGAGGGGTCCCCAGGGGTGCCGGTGGGGACGCTGGGCCAGGGAACACTGAGTCGGACTGGGGTCCCAAAAGGCGTCCCAGGAAGGTCTAGGCCGCCTGTGGGGACTCTGGGCTCGGCCGGGTTGCCGAGGGGTGTCCCAGAGGATTCTGGGCCGAGCTAGGAACACAAGGGGCGTCCCAGCCAGGTCTGGGCCGGACTGAGGGTGAGAGGTGCGTCCCAAGGGGCTCTGGCCTGGGCAGGCCCGGGGTCCTCAGGAAGGTCCGAG